CTTAACTTTTTTCCAGGTGTATATTTTACCAAGTTCCATAGAACTATTTCTTTATTGTTACGCATTTTTCAAAATACTTTCAACGTTAAGATTTTCTTTTCTAGGCCTTGTCATTCGTTAAAGCTTGATTACCAGACGTAACTACAAAGCTCGAGAGAGCAATGATATCAACATGCTATTAACGACATTTTATTGCACCCAAAGGAATTTAAACACAAACTTCTTACTCGAGAAAATCATAAAGCTTAATTCGGGTAAGTGTCTCTTCATGGTTTTGTAGTCTAACTTATAATTTGCGTAACTAAACTGACTTAAATGCCATAAATTGAAACGAAAAGATAAATGTTTCTCTGGCACTTGAAGTTTAAAAAAATACAAAAATAAAAAACAAGTGATTTCACAATCACTTAAGCTTTGCAATGCTTACTGAGTTTAGTTTTTAAACTTTTTATTCAGAGGAATTATACTTAACAGTAAATTATTAAAGCTATTCAAGCTGTGAATCACATGTTTTGAATCTGAAAAAAATAATACAATACTTCATGTGGTATGCATTAACAATTTAAATACAAGAGCACTATGATTTATGAAGAGTAAGAGATATCCCACCAGAGCAAAGATAGGTATGTTGCTTTTGGCGTGGTATATTCGGGTAGGAGGCTGGGTACGATGACTAACACCATAACTCATGGACAGTTTGACTAAGCGAACACGTTTGCTTAAGACGTAAGAGCATATTAACTATGTATAACAAGTGGCATCATTCTAACCGGTAGTTACGTCATACGAAAAATATAGTGTCGTAGGCATTTTTCTCGTGATTGTACAGTAAGTCCCGGATGCATGAGATGCGAGTTATTTACAGCTCGTTTCCTTTATATTGAAAGAAGAAGCTGGAAGATTTTCTGCTATAGAATGACAATACAGTTGATAAAATTTATGCACACATTTATACGTATATTGAATTATTTATCGTTTATGCACATAATAATATGCATTTGTGTACTTCATTACATATATTATAACGTTAAAATATAATAAAATCAAACTACCCCGTGGGTCCATAAGTATTACAACCTTCCTTACTGCTACAAGACATTACAAATACAAAAGAAATTCACTTTCACAGATCTGTTGTTAAATAAAAATGTGTACTGAGATATTTTATGAGGGTCACGAATTTGTGGATTTTGCCAAAACTGAATACTTTTATATGTACGTTCATTTACTTACAATTTCTAAATCAAATAGAACAACAGACTAATGTTGCACTTTGATCCAGGGTATAAGAAGGCACGTGATGTTTTGAAACACAGTAACAAAACTATACTAGGCCTACAGAAGTACGGAAAACAAATTAAGCTAGGCCTACAGAAGTACGGAAAACAAATTAAGCTAGGCCTACAGAAGTACGGAAAACAAATTAAGCTAGGCCTACAGAAGTACGGAAAACAAATTAAGCTAGGCCTACAAGAGTTACGGAAGATAAGCACTTCTTTGAATTCTACGTTCCTTCTACAGCTTATCATAGGTAACTCTGTCCAGGCACTTTTTATTCGAGACATTTCTAAATCCTTCCAACAATCTTTACGTGTAGTCTGCGCTGCCTCTAGCTGAGGAAAGGTAATTATAGGATTTCTAATAGCACAAACCACATCCAACAGGGCCCAATAAAACCTAGACCTATTTATCTTGATTCATTATGTTCCAAACTAGTTTTTAGTGGACCACCCTCTATAAATTATATATATATACTAGCTGTAGTACGGAAGGTATGTAAATTCATGATTAATGAAAGGTTATCTTAGGACTTTAAAAGTTGCCTCTCTCATATGTAATTGTAAAAAACGCCTATAAAAACCGCAAAACTGGAAATTTGTAATGGACCCAACAAACCTTCATGACAAATTTGGTGAAGGTCCATCAACAGGGAGCGAAGTAGTAGTAGTAAAAAAAACGCGAAAACACCCCTAAAAACCGTAAAACGGCAAATTTTTTATGTCTTTCTATATACTCAACGCACTTCCGTACCACATTGGTGAATATCCATCTACAGTGGGTGAAGTAGCGGTAAAAAAACGTGAAAACGCTTATAAAAACCGCAAAACTGAAATTTTTTATGTATGGACCCAGTGAATCTCCATACCACTTTTGTTGAAGATCCATCCACATCCTGCGAAGTAGTTACATGGACAGACAACAGACAGTACTATATATTTATATAGATACATTCTTTCATACATAGTGTTTATTTTTTTAATATTACCAGTTTCGTGGCATGGCGGCTGCTTTTCGGTTACCTCTAATTAAAACAGGAATAAAGATTATTGAGATTTAACCCAAGTTACCAACTAAGAAAAACTAAAGGTTGATTGCATACATTCTGTTTATTGTGAAATTATACCACTAACTATGGAATGTATCTTGAAGATTAAGGGAAAATCGCTGACACGGGGCAATGAAGGGTTTTGTTTTTCTTCAGAATTCTGCCCAAATCTTGAACTGATATACTAGAGGGAAGACAACTAGTCAACAGCACCTCTTGGGCTACTGTTGACTGGCCAAATACTGGATATGGCCACCAATCTTATAGCGCACTCACGTGACCCAAAAAAATCCGGAGAGCGTTTTTTCTGCAACAGGTCTCGAAGCACGAATCCTCAGTTTCACAATCCAGTCACGCGAACTACTACTGCCGAGAAGAAAGAGATTCGCATTCGATGACGAGGAACCCACTTTGAGACTAATAATGGCTGGAGACGGCTTGAAT